ATGTGTACTTGAATAAACACAGACAGTATTGCTACTTAATGTCACTTTATCCTTTTTTAACTTGGCATCGGAGATAGGTAGGATAAGTTGCTCTGGGCAGATTTCTGTCTCTTCCAAGATCAATAGACCTTACTTTAAGATGGTAAAAGACGTACAAAAATGTTCAAAGTCAGTGAAATGATTCTTTTAAAGCTGCTACTTTTGGCAAAAATGATGCACAGTCCAGCACTTAATATACACAGAATGTTTGCCCTCAGTTCTTCATCTTCAGCCTCCTGCCACTTTACAAGGATGAAGGTAGCTCATGGCTCCAAAAAATCTTCATCATAAGAAAAGCAATAAGAGCTGCTGCTCAGTGAAGGCTTTAGCAAGGGGCACCTGGGAGATATAATTGGGGTGGAGGAGCCACAGGAGAGGGAGCAAAAAAAAAAAAAATTACCTATACTAGGATGCATAGAGATGCAGAAAGGACTGACTTTACTTAAAAAGGGACGTTATTATCTTCTGCATATCTGGTAAGATGCAGTTCAGCAGTCTCTACTGATGTTTGTCTTTTCTGCTGAAGCAGGGGAAGGAGACAAAGTTGGGAAGGTGTCCTAATTGTAAAACGTGATCACAGCTAGATGCCTAATTCCCTTGGGTTCCTATCAAAATCCTACCACACAACTATAAATTAACAATATTTCCATAAAAGAATAGGAGAGTATAATAGAATATTCCATTCAGGTGTTACTGGATTGAATTGTGTCATTTTTTCAATTTATTTCAGTTCAACCCTTATTGCAGCTTTTGTTTAGCACCAAATATAGAAGATCCTCACTCATTTAGTATTATAAAATAAACAAAAAAGAGTTCCTTTATGAAGTGTCATCTGGATTTGATTTTTGGACTGAAATGAGTGGTAGTTTACTATGGCAAGGTTGGGGTACTTAAGTCAACATATTGGCCTGCTATAGCATGAAACATGTGCCCTGTTAAAATATCCAGGATGTTTATTGAAGTTACATCTTCATAATCAGTAATAAGCTGTTTACACACCCTAGATCTATATCTTCATGCTTCAGCAGACCAGGAGAAAAGAAAAGACTGGATTTCCTGCCCATAGAACA